AAATACAGACACAAAACCAGCAGCCCGGCGAGGGAAGACCCCCCGGCAGCCCCCCCACCCGCCGAGCTTGCCCCATCCCGGGGGTGTTCGTGCTGGGATCGCTGCCCCTCTGCTCGGAAAGGGATGAATCCTGGGTTTGCTTGTCTTCCTGTAAAGGGGAAGGGTCTCCCTGGTCCCCTCCGGACAGACCCCGGCCATCAACTCGCTCCCTCCAGCACGGCAGGAGCAGCGGTAATCTCACTCCCCTGAGCATCTGCTGTGGACCCTTGGGTCCCGCCTCGGTGCTCCTTCTCATCCCGATGCTCCTTCTCATCCTGGAGCTGAAGTGAGCCAGATCCTTCTCCCAGACACCTCACACCGCTGCCAGCTGCCCCTGGCCCACCCCCCACCTCCTTCTCTCGGTTGTGGGAAAGCCTGCCCGTTCCTCCTGCTTAAAACTAACAACCTGAAGGCGTTCCTGCTGTAGGAAGGTACTAATAATTAATTAATTAAGTACTAATTAATACTCAACGGGGCTTCATTTTATTCATTTGCATGCCCACCCAGACATCGCTGTGGAGATGGGAGCAGCTGGACAGCCCTCGCCGTCCTGCTCCTTCCTGCTGGGCTCTGCCCCATGCCAGGGAAGCCCACGCCAGCTGCTCGACCCCACGGGGCTGCTTTCCACCCCTCTTTGCCAAAATCCCTTCCTTAAGCTGCTCCCTCTTCCCCCTTTTCCCAGCCGGGCCGAAAGCCACAGGTACAGCAGGGCTGGAGGGTGCAGCGCCCCTGGGAAGTGCCCCGGTGTCCCTGGGGAGCTCCTAAACCCCCAGTTCAGCTCCGGCGTGGTGGTCCTCAGGCTCAGCACGGCACATACATCTCCAGGGGTGTGCAGGGGACCATGCTGAGTCCATCCCAGCACCCTCACTCCCCCAGAGCTCTCTGTGGGGTGGGGGTCGTCCCCAGTGTCAGCGGCAAAGCCCTGGTTCGGCAGGCCAGCGGGGTAACGCCGCTTAGGGCTAGGGACCCCCCCAAGCCCACCACAGCTGCCTGCAGCCCAGCCTCACCAGCACCACTCGGATACCACCCCCAAAACTGTCCCCCAGAGCCGAGTGATGGGCCCAAGACCCCCCACCCGCAGGAAGCTCCCCCACTGCACAGCAGGGGTCCAAGGGGTCCTGCCCCAAGGGCTGCATTGCCGATCCCAGACCCAGTTCCTGAGACAGCAGAGCCAACCCGTGCTTTAAGCCTGGAGTCTGAGCACGCTGCCTGTGCCCGAGCACCGCTCCGCCTCCTGGCTGCCACCTCCTCTCAGTCCTCGGCCACCGCGTTTGCCCAGCGCTCCCAGTTCAATGCTAAGAGGGTGCTGCTCTCCCCCCAGTTTGCTTTTGCAACCAGCTCCTGCAGCCTGCCCAGCCCGTGGGAGCATGGAGACCGCTTCCCATCCTCACGTTCCCTTTCACCCTCCTACACATCCGTGGATCCCACGGGGAGCAGGGTGCTCTCTCCCGAGCGGGAGGTCCCTCTTGCTACAGCTTAACCCTCCGATGGCATCACACAGCCAACCCTTCCTTGGCTTTTAACCTCTCCTCAGACTCTGCCAGGCTTTCCAAGGGATTAGGCTGCACTGTCTCCAACCCAACAGCGGGGAGTTGCGGAGTGTCCCACGGTTCAGCCTCCCGGCAACTGCTACACTGCGTCTCCCGGGAAAAGGCAAAAAGAAGCTGCTTAAATCTACCCAGTCTCCTGCTCCCGGCAGCTATGAGCCCTGTAGGAATGGGATAGGACACAGGAATTCGGGAGTTACCTGCTCCAGTAATCGCCGGCATATTGAAAATCTCTGTCCCAGGCTGCCCAACGTCTGGAGGAAACACAAGGAAGCTGTTCAGTACGGAGAGCAGGAAGAGTGGGATGGTGCCGGGGGGGACCTGCCGCACATTCCCATCCCAGCACCCAGGGCCGACAGGCGCCCACCTCCCCGGGCACTGGGGTACGCCTGTGGAGGCCAGCTGGCACTGGGAATAATCTGCCTCTGGGAGAACCACAGCGGGCAGGTCTCACCAGCTGGGAAAGGGCGGAAAAGCAGAGCCCAGGGAGCCGGGGTGATGTCTTCGTGCTGACCTCCCTCCCTCCAGCTCTTCGGATTACAAGCCCCGCAAAGCTAAACCCTCTCCCCTGCCTATGGGATTTCCAAAGGCTCAAATCCCCATATCCAGGGAGCAGGTCTGGGCAGCGGGGAGGGCGAGGAGGAGGAAAAATGTTAAATCAATATTTTCCCTCTTAGCTGAGCCGTTTGACTTGGCTATCACTTTCCCTAGAATAACAGAAATTCTCATTGAATAAGGGGTGTTTCCTATTCCTATGTATTTTCCCTTGACAAAGGAAAGTGTGGAAGGTCGTGGGGTTCAGCCACATCCCCAAAGGGACATAACAACACTGTTGGCTCATGGTAACATCATCCAGGAGACGAGACAGCCTGGTCTCTCTTACCCGATGCAGCTGTCGTAAGATGGATTCAGACTGAATTAGTATTGACTGTACAATGCCGGGCTAAATTAAATTATGATCCTATCTACTCTATTAGCGGTTAATGAATGAAGGGGCTGAATTTCTACCGTAAGCCGGCCCGGTTAGTTTTACAGAGCTGCACCAATATTGATGTAGGGCTTAGCGTAACGCTGGGGGGAGACGGAGCTCAAGGAGGATGGGTTCAGCTTGGCTGGTTGTTCATTAAAACATCAATTGCTCGTCTCCTCCACGCTCAGCTCATTATTTCCTTCCTGCTGGGGTTATCTGGCGCGGGTGGGATTGACAGCCCCAGAGCAAGGAGGCTGGGGGTCTCCCACCACCTCCCCAGATGCACACGGCCAAGATGGCACCAGCACGGCTCATCCCAGGAAGCATTTGGACCTCACACTTCCCAACAAATCATGGCATGATGCAGAGAAAGCGGGCTGGGAGCTCCCAGCCCCTAACACACCATCACCCATTCCCAAATCTCCGTAGCTTCACGTGTCCTCACGGCATTTCACCCCCGGTGCCCTCCATTCGCCCCCCACCCCGCATGTCCTTACTGTACTCCGGTTCGTTTTTGTTGGTCGTGCTGAGCTTCTTGATGATCTCCTGTTTCTTGGACTTCACCATGGCAGAGTTGCTCTCCGTCAGCTTGCTGAAGAAAGCCGGAGGCTGAGTGTTGTTTCCTGGGGACTTGGACCCCATCCTGCAAAGCAAAAGACCATCGGAAACCCCTGCGACGTGCGGTTCCCAAAGTCCTACCTAGAGAGGCTCTTTCCTCAGCCTAATTCCTCAAAAGCAGTCTGGGGGCTCCCCAGATATTCTGGGTCTCCAGCCTTTCTCCCCATCCCCACCGTGAACGTACCAAGCGGTGTTGAAAAGCCCCTACACCCGGACAGCAACCCGGGATGTGGCACTGCTTTCGGCTGCCAGAACAGCCCGGGCCAGGGCGGGTGTGGGGATTGGGGGGGGACACCCCCACGCTGCCAGGCCATCCGCCCCTCGGTGTTACCTCTGGTCTATCTGCTCGCCCTCGCGGTACAGGATGGGGTACGTGGCGCTCTTGGTGTGCTCCGATTCTCCCACGCCGTCTGGCGGAGAGACCGGCTCGATACAGCTGTCCGACCCGCTCCCGGCCGAGGCTTTGCTCTGCTCTGGGGACCTGCGGAGAGCGACGCGGGGACGCAGTCGGCTTATTGCACCATCCTCTGCCTCTGCACGGCAGCTCGGGGGTCAGCGGGGGGAGAAGGGTTCAAATAGCTTTCCTAAGGCGGGGAAAACCGCCAAACCTTCCCCAACCCCGTGGGCTTACGGAGCCTTTTAACGCCGGAGGGCGAGCGCAGCGTGGGCAGCTCGGCACCGCAGGCGTGCGGAGCAGGGCTGAGCGAGACATGGCCCAGATTTCCAGGCAGTGAGCCAGCCGGCAGCTGCCCCCAATCCAGCTGCCCAGGAGGGACCCGTCCCGGCCCTGGACGGCTCCGCACAACGGCTGG